TCTGGTTGTGGGTGCAAATATCTGAATGATAGTGGTATTCACTGGACTTCCTTGTATGCGTATGGATATTATCCTGTCACCCACAATATTGCACTTCAAGACTCTAGAGATGGCTTTTCTAACTATGAAAGCAACCCCATTTTTCCTTACCTTTTCATCTCCGGAGTAGTATATCATATGATCATCCGACTCAAAATGCCCCTTGCTGGTCCATGTCATCTCACCAATGCCTAGTATGTCAATATTTATGCGTTCCATTTTCTCCTTAACAATATCTAATTTTCCTACATTCATGGTTCTCACATTCCATGTTCTAATCACTAGTGTCTGCTTACAATCGTTCCTCTTCCTTTGTATTTCCATACTCAGTTATCCTTTCTGTCATTGAATGTGTGTTCTGTTGTACAAAGAGTTTTCAGAAGCCTGCTATTTTGGAAGTGGATGGCCAGTCCTTCTTCCTAGTGTGTCTTAATCTGAAAGTTCAGATTTAGAGAAGTATCCAACAGATAAGCATTTTACAGAAAAAGTGAAAATATATCCCTTATGGTGGAATTAACCATTAGTTTTGGTGTTGTCCCTGCCCTTGGCACAAGTGTCCTGACCAAGTTACTTGTTTGCTCCAGTGATGTCAGTTCATAAGTTGATATTCGTCATAAGGCATCAGTAATGCCACTATACATGCAGTTAAGAAATGCGAGTATAAAATGAATATTTACATATTATATTTCCTAGTAACTTATGTTAATAAGAGACAAAACCAAGTCAGTGGTAGAAACTAACACACCTACCAATTTTCAAACTCTGATAAGAAGTCATTTCATTAACAGCAAGCCCCACAGAAAAATTTGCCTTTTGAAATGTTTCTAAGGCATATAAAACATATGCAGATAGTCTTACAGCAAAAATTTTAAGAGTACAGAATTAGTTCATCAAAACACTCAAACTAAACCCACTACTGTCAATTCTACTCACAGTAAAGCTCCAGAACACAGAATTACCTATAGTATTTTCAAGGCTATCTGTCTTTACCAAAGCTACACCATCTTTCTCTAAGGGAGCGGCTAGTGGATTCAAACAGTTGAACTTTAGGTACACATTCCAGTACTTAATCCATTGTGCCACTAGGGCTCCTGAGATGTAGTATTATAATTAATTTACTCTCAACTCTATCTTTTATATTACAAATGCAGGTGAGTCATATTTGTACCAATGACTTTTCTTGATAGTGTTCTAACTCATGATGATTCTGCAAGGCAAAGAGAAACTGCTCCACAGACTTTTCCTGGCTATAATCTTTATGGGAATAGAGTGCCAGGTCCTTTACCTATAGTACATTAGAAATCAAATGCAAAAATCACCAACTGGCTACCTTTCACAAATATAATTCACTTAAACCACCAGGATATCTCCAGAGTCAGATATAAAGCTCTTATTCATGTATGTATATACATGCTTATTTATTAAGATCTTTATCACATATATCTGACCAATATATAAGTGTGTTTGCTGTATATTAATATTGGTATCTATCTATGGACATAAATACATACACACACAGAGCTAGGAGTCTGATAGCACAGAAGTTAAATGCTCATGTGAAAACTGCAAGGTT